CCCCCTTTCACCACACCCGTACCGACCCCCAATTGCCTCCTCTCTGAGGTCACCAAAGCCTTGCTTACGCAGAGCAGAAGGAGGAAGGCGAAACTCTCGTCTCACCCGCGCCTAACTAACTTACCCCCCTCCCCTTTCCGTTGCTGGCGCCGCGCAGCCCGCCGAGTCGATCTCAACAAACACGCCGCCGGCCGCCGTACCGCCGTGCAAGAAGGCGCCAGGTTTTCCTATTTTACTATTATTATTGTTTTTATCGCGTCGATAAGGAGGTGCTTCTGGACGCGGAGAAGACAACCATTAACCACTCCTGGCGAGCTGCCGCGGTGGTGTAGTAAAGCGCCGCGTCACCGCTCCTCCTCGCCTTCACGCAGTGTGACGACGCGGCGCACGCCGTCATACCCTTGACGTCACACACACACACGACGACATCATAACCCGCGGCTGGCTTTCACCAAGTCCCGCTAGTTTCCCATCACATACACGGGCGCGGCAAGGCCACGGTCAAGGTGTCGGAGGCGGCGGCGGCGGTGCGTCGGCGGGAGTGGATAAACCGCGTGCACGCACGAGTAGTGATCTCTCGCGAGGAGGCTTCCGCCAAGGTGCGCCCGCGCCCCGCCCCGCAGAGAGGAGAGGGGCTGCGTCCCGGACACCATCACCGGGCACCCGCTGATATGCTTAGCGTGCGCAAGGCGGCCGGCGCGAGGGCAACACGCATTTGATTTTATAACGACGTAATAAACGTCGTTGAATAGCGACGTATATAAACTTTCTAAGCTCAGAGTGGGGAAAAAAGAAATAAAGAAAAAAATGGCTTATGTGTGGAGAAGATGGCTAAGGCAACAGCAAAACTGCTAGCTCAGTTTGTTGCAGAAAAACTTTCAAAAATGGCTAGCTTAGGCCTAGTAAACATGGCTAATATAAAGTGAAAACTGGTAACACAAAGTAAAATGCCCTAACCAAATTTTCAAGAAGCCTAACATGAAACCCCACCCAGTATTTATTTCGAAGCACGGTGAAAATTCACAGCTTGGTGAAAATATTTACTACTGTATGGTCAAAACTATACCGGCGAGGTGGAGTATGGTCGCAAATATTGGGAGACGGGTCGGTGGTTTTGGGACGTGGAGAGAGAGATATTGTCGTGACTCACCCTCGAGGCTCTGGTCGTAGCCCTTGGTGAAGAAGAGCATGGCCTTGGCGGCCCGCTCGGGGGTCTTGATGAGCCCCTGGCGGTCGGGGTTCTCGCCGAGCGAGGACAGCAGGAGGCGGTAGCTGCGGGACATGTCGGGCAGCAGCGCCTCCCTGGTGGGCGGCCTGTGGTCCAGCTCCAGGTCGTGGTGGAACGTGCACTTCTCGTGGCCTGCAACAACAACAAACAAAAACAAACAGCGTGAGTCCCTCGTCGTGTGCCTCTTTCTCTCGCGTCGCCGGGGTCGTTATCATACGGACCAGGGGCGGCGTGGTGTTATCGCTGTGCGCCCCGTCATTGGTCATCCAATTAGAGCGACAGAGAGAGAGAGAGAGCTCCATACTCAAAACAAACAAGAGAGAGAGAGAGAGACAGAGAGCGTTTTCTTTTATCGGCGCGAGCGGGCTGGCGTTGTGCGCTACGCCTTTCAGGGGCCGGGATAACAGCCGCTGAGCAGCGTGACACGGGAATACCAACCCCTCTGCCCCCCCCCTCTGTCTCTCTCTCGCTCTCTCTCACTCTCTCACTAACTCTGGCCACTCCGCTCACCATCTCGGAGATCCAGTTTAGTTTGATCTTGTTCGGATAAGGCGAATGAGCCTGCGCCAGTTTTAGTATTCATCGGACAGGTTGGCCGCCCGGCCTTGGGGTGTGTGAGGAGGTCCTATCCCAAGGCGGAGGAAAGTGAGACAAACTAACTGTTGATTCACTGACGCATCCCCCCCTCCCTCTCTCTCTCTCATGGCCTTCTTACATAACCTGCGCCGCTGGCCGGACATACTTTGTAGCGCAGGCAAATCAAGAAATTTTAAGATGATAGCTAATTAAAACAAAATATAATAATTTTTTT